ATATGCAAGACAATAATATATCATCATTAAAAACATTTAGAATAGTCTTTTAAGCACAGAAAGCACTCAGGGATAGATGGACAGATGGACGATCCAATCCAAACTGAGCGATTCCAATGACTAATCTAGAAATCTCCCAAAACATTGACCAGCGGCTCTCTCTGGATTGTGGAATTATAACGGATTTCAATTTCCTTATTCATTCTCTTGTTTTCAAATGATCTATAAGGCCAAGTCCAATTTTATCATGAGAAAACCTAAAATGCCAAACGTCTACATCAGTCATCTCCAGCCACTGTTGAATGTGATAGATTTTGTTGAGGCCATCTGCTGGGGAATGACTGACCAGCCAAGAGGAGGACACGCAAGAAGGTGTCACCATGGAGGCAGGCTTTTTTGTTGATTTATATGTTTGTTTGTTTATTTGTTGTGGTGCTGGGGATCAAACCCAGGGCCATAAGCACGCCAGGCAATACTACCACTGAGCTCCACTCCCAGCCAAGGCAGGCTAATGGAAGGCTCCTCGGGACAAGGGATCACCTGTGAGATCCATAGGACATCTAGAGTGTGACAGATCACGGATTTAAACACCCAAGTGCACGTAATGGGAGAGAGACAGACAGAAAGGCTGACCCATGGGGTTAACGCAGGCTGGCTTGCACCTTCTACCCTCCACCTTCTCTCTTGAGAGGTGATGGCTGTCACAGTCAGCAGCACCTGTTTTCTCCCTCCTTTGCTCTCCTCTACAAGAGCTGGGGCTTACAGCAGTGAACAGACCTGTAAAACTGACATTCTAATTGGGGACTTAGGCATTAAGACAGAAATTGTGTAATTATTCTCTTAAGTACAATTGTGATGGATGCTAGGTAGAGGTAGTACAGAGAGTTCTCAGTTTGGATTATGTCTGGCTGCAACAGACACCTAACAAGATACAAGAATATTTCTCTCCCAGGTAAAGACAGTCTAGGTGTAGTCAGCCCAGGGCTGTTATGACAGCTCTGATGTCACAAGGGATCTAGGCTCATCCTTTTGGTCCAACATCCATCCCAACATACAGCTGCCATCTTCAAGGTTACTTCCTGATCCACAATTGCTGCCAGAGCTCCAACTATCATGTTCATATTGCAGGCTAGAAAAAAGAGGAACAGCAAAAAGTAAAGGACACCTCTTCTAGTTAAGACACCTTCCCTTTTGGGCTGGTGGAGTAGCTCAAGTTGTAAAGCACCTGCCTAGCAAGGGTGAGGACCTGAGTTCAAACCCCAGTACCACCAAAAAGGAAAAAAAAAAAAAAAAGACACCTTCCCTTTACTCATGTCTCACTGAGAAAAGACAAAATTTACTTGTAAACTGATTATGAACTGTTAATGTTTACTGAGTATCTGTATCTGGCACTTTATAAAACCCTGCAAGGCAACTGTCATCCATTCTATGAAGAGATGAGAAAGGTAAGGCTTAATATGTTTAAATAACTCATTCAAAGGTCACACAACCAGTTGGTGGTGCAGCAACTCCCAAGAGCCCCTGCTCTGTCCATGGCCTCCCAGCAAACTAAAAAATGAAGTGAGAAGAAAGTCCCTCAGACTTGTCACTAGCTATATTAAAGACAGGCCACTGCTGTGGGTTTTTTCCGTTTTCTATGTAAAATGCATTGATGTTACCAATCAATTTAATGAGCTAGGGGAGCTCTGTATAAAAGCAGGAATTGATTTGTGTATGGCGGGGGGAGTTGAAATCAGTGCCTCACACTTGCTAGGCAGATGCTGAACCACTTGATCCACTCCACCAGCTCTTTTTTTGTGTTGCGTATTTTCAAGATAGTATCTCTCCAAGTATTTATCTGGGCTGGCTTCGAACCACAATCCTCCTGATCTCTGCCTCCCAAATAGCTAGGATTACAGGCATGAGTGACCAGTGCCTGGCAAACTTTTTCCTTCCTTCCTCCCTCCCTCCCTGCCTTCCTTCCTTCCTTTCCTTCCTTTCTTTCTTTGTTTGTGTGCGTGTATTTGCTGTACTGGGGTTTGAACTCATAGCCTTGTGCATGCTAGGCATGCACTACCACTTGAGCCACTCCACCAGCAAGGGATTGGTCTGCTAGATTCTGATGCCTAGACCAGCTTCAAGCAAATAGGAGACACATCCCATAAATAAGTGTTGATGTGGTTTTTTGGCCTCAGAAGAGCACTTCCACACAACACTGGCCCCTCACACGCCTTCCAATCAATCCCCCTCCTCAGAAGCAACCGCCAGTCTGATGCATCTAGCCACACATTAGTTTTGCTCCATGAACTTCACAGAAGTGGAACATTCACCTGTACTCTTTGCTGGATAGATGATTTGGGGGGGGCGGGTACTGGGTTCTGAACTCAGAGCTTTGCACTTAGGCAGGCATTCTTCCACTTAAGCCACACCTCTAGTCCTTTTTGCTTTAGTTTATTTTTCAGATAAGGTCTTGCGCTTTTGCCTGGGGCTGGTGGTTCTCCTACTTCTACCTCCCACCTAGCAAGGATTACAGGCATGGACCACCATACCCTGCCTAGATGATTCTTTTTCTCAACAAATCTTTTTTGAGACTTATCCTTGATGCTCTGTGTATCAGTAATTCATTTTTTAATACATTTTTATTAGGATATATTCATTATACAAGGGGGAATTCATAGTGACAATTCCAATTAGACTTATATTGTACATTCTTTATTTTGCCCCATCATCTCCCCACCGCAACCAGAAATTTGTTCTTAATTGTGGTTTAGTCTTCCACTGTTTGGACATGCCATTGTTTATCATTCTTCAGTTGGTGGATTTTGGGGCTATTTCCAACTTGGGGCTATTATGGCTAAAGATGTTAAGAGCACTATTGTACAAGCCTCTTTTTTGGTGGACACTTGCCTATATTTCTCTTGAGTCTGTACCTGGCAGTAGAATTTCTAGGTCATAGGTTAAGTGTAACCAGCCCTATCCCTGTATATTCCACATTAGCACACGAATGTGAGCTGGAAATCATTTGCCACTTGTATTACTTCCATTGCGCAAACCTAATACAAACCTAAGGAGGTTTCAGAGTAGTGACTGCCAAATCTACACAAATGAGAAATACGAAAATCTGAAACAAAATCCCATCTGCAAATTTTCCTGCAAGGCAAGAGCTGCGCTCCTCAGGTTCCCTGGCATCAACTGACGGGTTCTTCTTGAGTTTTCCAGGACAGCAAATTGCTTATCAGCCTTGGCACAGGTTTCAATGGGCAGAGCCACAGGGGATCACTTTCTCTCTCTCTCTCCTCTCTGCCTGTAAGTCAAACCTCACAGTGATGATGAGAAGGAGGGAATGTTGGAAACGTGAAACTGTGTCATACTCATTCACAACAAGCACTCCTCATCACGCCTATCCCCATTCTGGACACAACGGGAAAGAGGAAGGATGTGGAAGATTCCATTCCTGTTCTCTGGTTCTTGAGTTGCTTGCAGTCTAGCTGATAGGGACGAGGCAGTAACTCTGCCTTTGCCCACCATGTCAAGACTGGTACTCTGGCTTTTGCTCTTTGCCCTCTTCTGCCAGCTCTCCCTAACTCATCCCCTGTAAGCCCACGCTTCCCTTCCGCCTCATTCTGCCTGTTCTGGACTTCGCCCCAACTCCCTTCTCCTGCTGATAATTTGCATATATCCCATCAGGAATGTTGTGAGCTTGGCCTGAATCCTACTCTTTCTCCCCATTTCTACCTTCCTGGCCCTTGTCTAAGCCACAGGCATCTCTCATCTGCATTACCATCTCACCTCTTCCAAACCAGTGTCCTCAGCATTTTGCTGTCACCTGCTCTTTATTCATTTCCCTCTCTTCTGGTAACAGAAACTTGAATTTCTTTTGGTGACTGTGACACCAGGTTCCAGCAGATGGTAGGTAACATCACCCCAAGGCTGGAGGTGGGGGGAGGGGCAGCAATGTCACCTCCTGGGCAGAGGAGGGAGAATTTACCAGAGCCAGGAGAGGGGATCTGCAGAAAGGAGGTCACTTGATAGAAGTGTCCATAATTATCAACTTTTGTTGACAATTGTTAACTTTTGTTTACAATTATGGCTTGATTACATTAGCCAATCCACAGCCACCCAAAATGGAAGGAGTTAAGGGAATGATGCCCTTCTTCTTCCTCCGACCCCGCATCTCCTTCCAGTGTCCTCCACTGAATGAATCCAACTGTGCTCCAGAGGTCAAGGGACCTAAGGGAGCAGTGCATGCAGGTTGGTCTCTCAAAGCACAAATAGGAAGGAAAGGGCAGAGAGTAGATGTGGACAGACCATCAGAAAATCTCTAGCATGGGAAACCACATTCTCAGTTCATGAGGGTGAACATGCAACCTGGGCCTGCACTGTCACAATATGCCATGCCCCTTCTCAAGAGTTAGACCAATGAGGTGCAATCTGGGACTTTTGCTGACAGTAAGGAGGAAAGAGACTCTGCCGGTGAGGGTGTAATTTGGATTTATAAGCAGTCATTGCACCATCTCATGGCAGTCTGACCATGGGAAGTCAAAACAGAAAAGCAGAGCCAAGAAATGAAAAGACCAGGTACTGCTGTCATAGCTTAAGACCCTGGATCCAGCCATGCCTGAGCCATTTGCCATTCTTCAAGTCAATGAACTCCATTCATTAGTTAACTCAGTCTGTATTGCATGCAAAAAAAGAGAGTCTCGAATAATACTTGATAATATTTACTGGGAAGACCAACCCTATATGCCTCCAACTAAGCTGTAATTTTTATGCAATGCTCTTTCCCATCCACTGTACTTACAGAATGTGGACTCACATGACCTTTGAACTACATAGGCCCCTTGTGTGATGTAGGCAGGAAGGATTGCTCCCTTCCTCCTGTGTCCCTCAGCACTTTACAAATGTCCCTGCAATGATACTGCAATCTGTCTGCGCTACCTGTGAGCTGCTTAACTGGCAGATCTGTGCAACCTATTCTTGCAAATCCAGCCCCTTCCTCAAGCCTAATCCCTGGTGGTGTGGCTCACGCAGTAGAGCACCTGCTTTGCGAGCTCGAAGCCCTGAGTTCAGACTCCATTCCCACCAAAAGGAAAAAAAAAGCTAACATTTCTAACGTACACGCGCTCAGGGCGAAGAGTGGGGGAGGGGGCAGCACCCCGTCAGCGCTGAGTGTGGGGACAGAGTCGCAACCCGGTGCCATCACAGCCTCGGCTGCGGAGCTGGGCGGTAACACCGAGCTCAAGCCAGGCGACGCGCGGGGCTCCCGGAGCAGTGTACATAGTAATCGGCCCTGAGTAAGTGTCAATAATACTTCCGTTAACTGTTTTTGCGACGGCCACATGGGCCTGCAGCAATAGGATATAAACTATTTCGGGTCACGGCAGAAGACGAGAAGGTTGCCAAAGCCCTGTTTTCCGGGGTACGTAGAGCCCCCACCTTTGTGCTACACCCCAAGCCCTTCCTTCACAGGCCTGGATAGAGACCTGGAAATGCAAGCGAGGGCGAGCGCGCGCGCGCGCGGATGTTCCCTAGCCCCGCCCCGTCCAGCGCGGCCACGCCCAGTTCCGCGCGCGTCCGTCGGACTGTGCGCCTGCGCCGCGCGCCCCCTGAGGCGCCCGAGGAGGGCGCGGGGCGCGCGGGCCCGGGAGCGCGCGCGGCGCCAGCAGCCTCGCTTGGCCCTGGTCTCCGCCCGCGCGTCCCCGCCGAGGCTGCCGCTCCCGCTGGCGTCGAGGGCGTGGCGGCCGGTGGCTCACTCTCTGTCCTCGGCTCCCAGCCGTCTGGTTCTGTCCCCCGGGTTGCCGCTCTCCCCGCAGCCCCGGCGGTCTCCGGCCTCTCCACTCGCTTCCTGCCGCGGCGGCGGAGCGCGCAGGTGAGTGTCCGCTTCGCGGGGTGGGGCCGGGCGCTTGCAGCAGGTTGGCAACGCCGCGGGGTGGGGAGTGGGGGGTCGCCAGGCGCCCTAAAAAGTTACAGCAGCAATCGCCGCCGTCTAGAGATGCCCCAGAGCGGTGGCTTCCCTAGGGCCACCCCCGCCACCCCCTGAGATGCAGCCGCGATGTCGCCTCCCGGTCCAGCCCCCTCGCCCTAGAGTCTCCTCTAGCAGCCTTTGGGGTGGCACCCTGGAAAACAACCCTCCACCCGGCAATTTCTGCACCGCCTGTTTGACTTTTTTGGCAAACTGACAGGCCCGACCCGCCCCTGAAGGCGGGGAGGGGAAGCCCCTCTCCCGCTCCCCGCCCCTCCCCCACCGGGCCCGCATCACCTGCGCTCCTCTGAACCCGCCGTCCGCTCCCCGCGCGGCCCGAGCGCTCGGCGGCGCGGTTTCTCCTTGCGTGTTTCTCTCTCTTGCTGCTTCCGTGCAAAATCGCATCGTCTCCTTGAGAGATTAGCGCAGGGAGCAGTCTGCGTCCGCGTTTAAACTGCAAACGAGGATTATTTCAAGTGAGGTTTTAGTGTCGTGCTCAAAGCCAAAAATAGTCGCTTCCCCTTGTTGGCAGGCACCTCGCACACCACATCTGTTTGCACTTTTCACAGAACTCTGCATTGCATAGAAGTCTCATGTACTGTTTGGCAAGATAAACAACCGTTTTATCGGTTCCTGTGATTGCATAGGACTTGAAATATCTTAAGACTGTGCCCTTAGCCCTGGTTCAGTATATTAAACAAAAAAAAGTAGTATTAAGACCCAGGGTCTAGATGTTTATGCATTATGCAAATTCATTTTTGGTAGGGGTTTCACATTGGTAGGCTCGAAATGGATGTTGGATGCAGGAAGACTGTGAAAAACTTAAAAACCAAGAGTCATTTTAGCCTGTCTTCTGCTTTACTTACTACTTCATTGGCAACAGGTTTCCTAGGAAAGAGGTTTCATTGCTTTTAGAGAAAACAGGGTTTTTCCTACTATCGAAATTAACATTTGGATAGCTTTGGGAATTTGAGGGTAACAAATGAGAACCAACTTTGTATGATGTTACAGGAGTTGTTGGTAAAAAGAAAAAGCAATGTGTCGTGAAAAATCTTCTAACTTGGAAATCCATGAAGCTGCAGCCTGTGTCGTAGTGGCATCCCTAACCTTCAGTACCTTGTGTTACTTAGACCCCAGACTGTTCAGAAGATGGCCAGACCGGGCTCCACTTGCCCTGTTATGGAGAGGTTAGATTGAGGGGACACAGCAAAACAAATAGTACTAGTTTCTATAGCTCTGCTTCAGTCATCCCGTAAAACCTTTTATATTCATGTGTTCTGACCACTTATTGTGGTGATTCCTTTCTCTCTAATGCTAATAAATGCCACTATTCCTAGTGGAACAGGAACTGAAGTGATTACAACTGAACCAATTCTAGATTATCAATAAAAACTGGTCCTAGATCATGAAAACACACAAAATTCAAAAGCCTGAATTTTATCTTTTACTTTATGTAGCACCAAGTTGTTGCTGCTGTTTTAACACAACTACTAAAAAAAGAGTAAAATTCTACCTACAAGTGGTAAATGAGAAGAAAACAGAACGTAGAGCCTGCAGGACGGACATTCAGAACCCTTACCTTGTCAGTCTTGAAGTGGTCTTTTAAAAATATCATCAAAATTATAAATTCAAACGAAGTACACAGTTGCTTCCAGTATCATTTGTAGCAATTTGAACCTATCAGAAAATTTTAAAAGTGCGTCTCAATAAAGCATAAAAACGTTCCCCAAGTTGGGAGGCATATTTTTTAATATTTAAAATATTTGATGTGAAATCTATATTTTATGCATATTTATGTTTTTCAGTGTCCCCCAGAGGAGAAAGAATTTGCCTTTCCATTTCCAAACCTGAAAATGTAGTTGATTATTTCCTCCACAGGACTGTTGTACGCAACAGAGCAGATGTCGCACTCGGAGTTTTTCCATACAGTTGATGTTTCCATGAAGGCACAGTTTGTCAGAGAGCCAGCCTCAGCCACAGGTGTGCTGGAGGTGATGCTGAATCCTGGTTAGCACGGACCTGAGCTTTCAGATCTAGAGCATGTGACTTCCACCCTCTCTGCTGGAGCAGCCTCCATTCCCCGGGTTGGTAGACTGAGGGAGAGTAGTTTTGTAATACAGCAGGTGAAGTTAGCAGAGCTCCAGTAACAACCATAGACCCAAAAGACTTCTGGAATTTTTTTCTTTGCTGTGGCAAAACTGAGGATACCTTTTTTTTTTTTTTTTTTGGCAGCACTGGAGTTCAAACTCAAGGCCTTGAAGGGCATTCTACTACTTGAGCCACACTCCCAGCCCTTCTTTGCTTTAATTATTTTTAAGATATTTTAAGTTTTTTTTTATATTTTAGTTACTTTATTTCTTGAACTGCCTGGAACCATGATCCTCTTACTAACTGCACCTGCATAGCTGGGATGACAGGTGTGTACCACCATGCCCAGCTTGTTGCTTGAGATGGGGGCTCATTAACTGTTTGCCTAGGCTGACCTCAAACCTCTGTCCTCCTGATCTCTCTGCCTCCTGAGTAGCTAGGATTATAGATGTAAGCTACCCAGCCTGGCCGTCGAGGTTACCTTTTAAGTAATAGCTGAGTTACTTTATATGGTCTTCTTGCATATTTCTCTCTTTTCAAATTTGACTGCATTTATGATGTCAGAAAATTATGAAATTGTTGACAATATTGACTTAAGCTATATCCAAAACACCCTTCTGGCTTTTTAAAGCAAGAAAACCAACATCTGCCCAATAATGACTCTGATACCATATATGGCTTATAAAAAGGCACCATGGCCTTTTCCTAGCTAGCTCTCTGTTTTCAAGTCTTTAAATGTCTTCATACCAGAGCCATCTCCAGTGGTCGCTCAGATAAGTCAGCTTGATAAGTCAGCTGCTGTATAGTTGTCTTGAAATGATTTGTTACCTCTTAGATGCTCAGAATTCAATCGTTAAGAGATTTTCTATTTCATTTTATGGTTTGAATATCAGTTCCACTAGTGGTTCTGGTACTATTGGGTACCTTCAACCCAGTGACACATAGTCATAGATTATGCTTATGTGCAAATAATTAATTATTAAGCACTGAGTGTGTGCAACACATTCTTCAGAATTCTCTTCAGAGAATGTTCTTCAGAATGTTCTCTCGTTTACTTCTTCTCCTTATTGGGCAAGGATTATCATTATCTCCATTTTATAGTTAAGGAAACAGGAAGGGAGTGGCAAAGTAATTTCCCTAATGTAGAGTACTAGGAGCCAGAGTTCAAGTCTGGCAAGTCTGCCTATGGAGCCTGAATCTCTCTGGGGTATACTTAAACCCTGCTCAAACTTGTGTGCAGATCTGTGTATTTTAGCAACCCGTCCTTTGTAAGTACAGTAGATAGAAATTCGTAAGTGAAGAAAATGTAGCAATGCTATAATCTAAACATGAGTGAAATACCTTGGGACAAAATGCAGATAACTGAATAGTAATCTTAAAAACTTAAAAAGAAAAATCCCTGTTGAGGACATTGTTGGGATGATTGACAAAATTTGAATATAGACTGTGAATTGGATAATAGGACTATATTGTTAATTTTCCTGGTTTTGATACTGTGGGTTGTGTAATACATTACACAAGTACGTAATTTGGTAATAAAAGGTTATATATATATATACACGTCTTTTCAAGGGTTCAAAGTATATGAATAAAAATATAGAGAGATTAATAAAGCAAATGGGAAAATTGATAACTCTGGATAAAGATATTGAGGGTTTCTTTTACTGTTCTTATAACTTCTGTTTGAAATTATATCAGAAGAAAAGGACAGAAAACAGGAAATGAAGGTGCAGCGTTCTAAGAATGTTTTTAAGTCAGGAGCATGTTTCCTGTGCTCTGTTTTTTTCTTCTTCTTTTTTAGTGTTGGAGGAGGGAGCTGGAAACAGACAAAAAAAAAGCTTATAAAAATTGGTAGGGGCTTGGGGGGTATAGATTAGTGGTAGAGTATGCACAAGGCTCTAGGTTTGGTTCTCTCTCTCTCTCTCTCTCTCTCTCTCTCTCTCTCTCTCTCACATACACACACACACACACACACACACACAGAGCTGACTTTCTCAAATTTAACATATTGCATTCAGAGCTCCCAATTCACCAACCTCCAAACCTGGGCACCGTATTTTCCTTGCTTTTAAATGGGGGAATGAAAACATTATGGGTCTCACCACGCGCTGGGGGCTCACGCCTGTAATGCTAGCTACTCAGGAGGCAAAGATCAGGAGGATTGAGGTTCGAGGTTCGAGGTTCAAAGCCAGCCCTGGACAAATAGTTCTCAAGACCCAGGAGCCCAGGATTCTGCTGCTGCTTCGCCGTGCTTTGGGATCATCCCTGTGGCTTAGGAAGGATCAGTGAAATGAGAGACAATATCGGCACATGAGTGGGGGCCACAAGGAAGCAGGAAATTCAGCTGAGAACTGAGACATTAAAGGCTCCAATGTGGATCAAACCATCCAAGGGAAAGGAAGATGAGGAACAGAAGGGGGCTGAAACCTCAGAGAGACTCAGTTATGAAAAGGAGCTGGTGAAGAAGAAGAGCCAGGGAGCCTGGGGCACAGTGAGGCCTGAGGGTGGATGGAGTAGGCAGCCAGGCAGGTGCAGCAGACAGGCTGAGACCTGAGATTAGGTTCCACCCATGAGCAAACCGTTGCCATCTGTAAGGAGGGCAGGTGAAGCCAAGAGGTGGTGGCAGAAGCCCAACTGAACAGAACATGGAAGTAGCTGGAGTTGAGGAGGTGAACAAGTGTGTTATTCTTTCCAGGAAGTCCAGGAATTGAGGAGGAAAAGCAAAGGAGATGCAGATGGGCCAGGGCCAACGTGAGATGCTGATGTGGGGAAATAGAGTGCTCATGTCTGTGGAGGAAGAGGAAGGAGGGCAGGGGCAGACCCAGGTCCTTGAGCAGGGGCAGGTACTGGCCGGCACTGTTGGGAGGGGAAATGCTTGCTTAGGTGGGAGCTCCAGGAGTGGGGGAACCTTATTCCTGAGTACCTAGCAGTAGCACTCAGAGAATGCTGATAGAAATAAGTGGCATTTGAGTTTTTAGAATTAGTCTTTTTTTTTTTCTTGAGGCAGTCTTGCTTTGTAGCTGAGGCTGTACCTAGAACTCACTGTGTAGCCCAGGCTGACCTTGAACTCAAGATCCTCTTGCCTCAGCCTCCCAAGTACTGGGATTACAGGCCTGTGCTAGCTGGCTTTACAATTAGTCTTGATTGAGAAAGTAAAATAATGGAAAGGAAAACCTACTGTTTTTATCCTGTAGTTACCATTCTGTAGTGATACTCTATACAAGCACTATATTTGTGTTGTTTGAAATAAAAGAGAAAAATCGCAAATAGGTAGCATTAGATAGTAATAATTACAATCACTTAATGTTCCTGTGGCTGGTAGGTTTTTCTTCAATTCCCTGCCCAAGGGCCTCTGAGTCATGGGTGTGGTGTGTGGTTCCTGAAGGAGCCAAACATGCACCTCGCCAGTCCACAAAGACAGATTCTGTTCAGCAGAAGGACACTGCTGGCTCCAGTCCTCTGACTTAGAGATAGTGATGTTTAAAGGTTCACAAAAAGGAAATCTTTCGGGTTGTCTTCTGTGTTATGTTTTGCCTGCTGTAAATACTTCTAATATGTATTCACAAAGATTGGCTTCATAGAAAACTTTTAGTTCTGAGTGATTTCATTCTTTGAGAGCAGATTCAAAAGAAACCAACTGGGTACCAAAGGCAAAGCCAGTGCACCACACACTGCATCTCAGGGTGCAGATGGTGACAGATCTGTGTGGGTTTGATTCTGCTGAACCACTTCCAGTGTTTTCCACCTAGAACCAAAACAAATCTGTGAAGGCCGTTCTGGTTCACATTTTCTCTCCTGCTGCTTGTAAACTAGTGTACATATTGATATGATCCCATTTTATATTATCCTCTTTTTCCCAAATTCACTCACAAGCTCTTTGGTTTTTTTCTTACTATATCATTGATTCATAAAATATGGTAAGCAAAGCTGAGCACAGTGACTCTCATCTGTAATCCCAGCCACTTGGAAAGCAGAGATCAGGAGGATCAAGGTTTGAGGCCAGCCTGAGCAAAAAGTTAGTGAGACCCGATCTCAACAAATAAACTGGGTGTGGTGTCACAGGCCCACACCCAGCTACGTGGGAGCCCTTGGATGATAGAAAAGAGGATCACAGTCTGAAGCCATCCCCACACAAAAAGGTGAAGACTCTACATGAAAAATAACTAAAGCAAAAAGGGCTGGGAGTGTTGTACAGTGTTTACCTACTAAGTGCAAAGCCCTAAATTCAAGCCCCAGTACCGTCAAACCCCAGTACCACCAAAAAACAAAAAGTGCTAAGCAAATCAGTTTGTCAATACAGAATTCATTTAGGAGGACTGAAGTGAGTGGTTCTAAATGCCAGTTAGTGTTTCTTGGATAGCATGCCTTCACTTGATGAATTGCTCTCTTGAGAAACTGACTGATTGCAACATTATATGGTCTTCAGAGTTTTATCTCTGGTGGTTTTCTTTTTTAACACCAGGTGTCTGTAGACGTCCTGAACTTTAAAAACAGAAGACGTGCTTTTAGGGACACAATGAAATCTTGGAATGACAGCCAGTCAGACCTCTGTAGCAGTGATCAAGAAGAGGAAGAAGAGATGGTATTTGGTGAAAATGAAGATGATTTGGAAGAGATGATGGATTTAAGTGATCTGCCTACCTCACTTTTCGCTTGCAGCGTCCATGAAGCAGTGTTTGAGGTCCAGGAACAGAAGGTAGGCACTGTCCTGCCTTTTTCTCTACATTTCTAACATGGGGAAAGTGTTTATGCTTGAGCAAACAGGCTTTATGGGTCCCTGTATTTTAGAAGAGTAGCAATCTGTCAGATAGGAAGTATTTAAAAACTAGTCTTTGTCCACAATTTTGTTTCTCTTATAAATACTTTATTTCCTCTAGAAGGTACAATCTGTCAGGGTTCATAGTTTAAAGCCTACAATTACTTCATGTTAAAACTACACTTTAAAAAAAAAGTGCTGTAGCCAAGGGCAGTGGTGCATGCCTGTAATCCCCAGCTACTTGAGGCAGAGGCAGGAGGCTCATGATTTCAAGGCCAGCCTAGACAAAGGTAGCAAGAACCTGTCTCAGAAACTAAGTAAGAAACTTAGTCTTGAAGTACAGACTTGAGGTGACTCAGGTAGTAGAGTACTTGCTTGGTCTGCCTAAAGCTCTGGGTTCAATCCCCAGTACCTGAAAAAACAAAACAAAAAACCCCAGTACTGTAAATGGAACTGCTTGGCTTTGACTATACACATTTCTGCACATCTTGTGGAATCTGCACAAAGACCATCTTCTCCCTTTGTTCCTCTTAATTGTTCTTATTGGGAATTGCTTTCTATTCCAGTATCTAGAGTAAAATAGCAAGGCCAGCCACATAGCCAAAGGTCACTCCAAGTGTACAGGAGATGGGCCATGCCTACCACCATCTTCCCCTACCTAGTGGGAGAAGACATGCTCCAAGCCACACTTCTAGAAGTTGTAGCAATCTGAAGATTATTTTCCCAAATGAATGGTGCTCCATTCCTACTGAAAACTTGTCAGCCATGCTTTGAGATTTGGTCCTAATGAACATTAAACAAGGAACAGAAATAAGAGTAGACAAAGTAACTGCAAGTCGAAATGTTTCTGACACCGACTCTCTTGGTGCTTCAGATAGAACAAAAACTGTCATGGAAGCGGAGAACCAGTGAGCAAACCTGCTTAGAGATGAGGGACCCTTTCCTGGAGCAAGGGCAGGGGTCCCAGTCACAGATTTTTTACCTTTTGGGCCTGTTTTCATTTACAAATGCTGTTTCCTTTCCCAAGTTCAGTCACAATTTAGAAATTTTAAGGGAAGACCTCAAGGTGCCATGGTCACTCATCAGACTCCAGAGGTTTTGAAATCATCCTTCCTAGTTTTCTCATTCTTTTTAAGAGCTTTAAATTTTCATGTGAGATAATTAGGTTTACTCTTGTTTATTTGTTATCGTAAGAAACCACACAGTAGTTTTAGCATCCTCGGGTTCAACTAATTGCTGATTGGAAATATTAGGGAAAAATTGTGCTGTTTTCTGTGAGGGACATCAGAATCCAATGATTTGGATATCTGACAGGGTCCTGGACCCAGTTTATTTTAAAATCACATTCATAAGAATTCTTTCAAGAAACCTCACTGTCATAAACTTATGTCAATTTTTTTCTTTTCAACCATAGCCTAGGAAATCCTTAACTTGAATTCAGTTCTTTGGTTTTCATTTTGAAAACCATTGCGGGGGAGTTGTATCTAATCCAGATTTATGCAGGAAATCATCTCAGCAGAAGACCTTGTAGCAACAATCCAGTGGACTTTGTGTTGTGTGTAATTCTCAGTCACAGTTACTTAACCACCTCAACAATAATATTTGAAATAGTAAAATAAGTATGTGTAGATTGTAAGTTGGATACAAAACATGGCAAAAACGTATGTTTCCTGTACATTTTTCTTCTATCAGTGTCTTCTTTTGCTTTATTTCTCTTAGGATCACCTGGTTCTGCAGGCCACACGACCAAATGCTTCCAGTGGATTTCAGGCAGAAATATCCCAATTGCAGTTAAACACTTTTATTTTCAAAAGAACTTTTCTCTGACCTTCAGAGATTTTTATCTGTTTATTTTTATTTTTTCTTGGTGGTACTTGGGTTTGCACTCAGGGCCTCACACTTGCTAGGCAGGTGCTTTACCACTTGAACCACTCCACCAGCCCTTTTTTGTGTTAGGTGTTTTTCAAGATAGGGTCTAGAGAACTATTTGCATGAGGCTGACTTTGAACCTCAATCCTTCTGATCTCTCCCTCCTGAGTAGCTAGGATTACAGTTTGAGCCACCAGCGCTCAGTTTATCTTATTTTATTTTTTGCAGTGCTGTGTACTAGACAAGCACTGTACCACTGAGCTACGTCCCCACCCATACGGTTTTGTCCTTATAGCCGTCTCATTGTCGGAACATACTCTTACATCCTTCTGAATAGTAGACCAAGTGACACAGGTGCCATTATCATGTAAGGTAAATCAACTGAGATTGTATTTGGGCTCTACATTTTCATCAGTGTTTCTTAAATTGTACGTACGGTGGGGGGCGGGGGCACAAATCTTTAAATTTCAGCAAATGTTTAATTGAATCAGTTGTCCTGTTATGACCAAGAATGTATAAGACTTAGTTATCTTAGGCTAGATTAAATACTGGAGAACCCAGAAGAAATCCTAGTCAAGCCTCTGTTTTTTTCAGTGGCTTAGAGCCACAGCTCACTTTAGAACTCATTTTTCATTTGTACACTGGAAGCTGCAAAACATTGCTGAAAGGAATCAAAGAAGAAATAAATAACAGAAAGATGCTTTATGTCCTTTGGTTGGAAAATTTAATTCCCTGGTGTCTGTAAAGAATTGGTTCTAGGCCCCCCATGGATTCCACATCTGCAGGTGCTCAAATCCCTTAGATAAAATAGGATAATGTTTGCACAGAACCCACACGCAGCCTCCTGTGTACTTTAAACCATCTCTAGATTGCCTGTAATGCCTAATGTAAGTGCTGTGCAAATAATTCATATACCTTATTGTCTAAGGAATAATGAAAAGAAAAAAAGCTTGTCCATATACAACTATCACATAAGCCTAACTACATTTTTGAGCCATGGTTGGTGGTTCTGCAAATGTAGCACCTTGGAATTCAGAGGCCAACTACATGGGAAGATGTCAGTGTACCCAAAGCAGCCTACAGATTCAATTCAGTCCTATCAAAATCCCAGTGATGTTTGCAGAAATAGAAAAAAACCCATTCTAAAATTTAGATGGCAGCTTGAAGGATCTCAGATAGCTGGAACAGTCTCAAATACAAAGAACGAAGTTGGAGGACTCACTTTCTCGTTTCAAACTTCCTTCAAAGCTCCAGTAATCAAAACTGTATCATGATGGCATAAAGACAAACATAGATCTGTGAACAGAAGAGAGTCCCAGAAATGAACCTTTACACATGTGGTCAGGTAATGTTCAGCAGATCATCCCGTGGGGAAAGGACCGTCTTTTCAACCTATGGTAGCAGGAAAATTGGATATCCACATGCAAAAGAATGAAGAACCTGTGCTTTATATAAAAAGTGAACTCAAATTAGATCAAAGACCTAAACATTGTCGCTAACACTATGAAGTTCTTAGAAGAAAACTTCAGGGGAAAGATTCCTGACTTTGGATTTGACAGTGATTTCTTGGATATGACATGAAAGATATGTGATACAACATGGCTAACCTTGGAGATGGGATGCTGTGTGGAATAAGCTAGAAAGAAGAAAATAAATGCTGGATGGTTACACTTTGTGTGAGGAACCTAGCATCACATTCATAAAGACAAATAGAAGGGGTGAGTGGGGAGTTGAGTTTCACAGGTAGTGGAGTGGGTGGTGGAAGGCTCTAGAGATTGTGCGAACACTCACACAAGAGGGTAAACTTAATGCCATTGACGCATGCACGTAACACGGCTACAATGCTATAGTTTGTGTTTCATATATTTGACCACAATTTTTTAAATGATAAAAAGAACCACCCGCATACTGCTCTTGTGTTTAGTGTTCTTGGTAGCATATTATTTATTTATTTATATAAATGTGTGTGTATTTTGACACTTCTTTTGCCCCATTTTGCATCCTCCTGGCCCATTTTTTCACTCTAACTCTTGCTATAGCAACTGGCTGTGACTGACCCCAGCTGGCCTGAGCAGCAGCATCTAGATCTCAGCCTTGCTCTTTGCTCTGTCAACTCTGTAACATCACTTAGTCATATTGGCACACACACACCCTGGCAAGTGAGAGGGAATTAACATCCCATAGGACAGCCAGAGAGTACGTCCCTTTATGACACTCAAGCCTTCAGTGCCCAGCATGCTCTCAGCTGGCTCCTCAAAGACTGCACACACCCAACTTGATGACACACCCAGAAGGTAGCAGACTGCCTTTCCTGTCCTAGGTGAGAGACTCCCCAGACATGGAGCTGGCCCCTAAGATTGCACTTCACTGTGAATGGACACTGAAAAACCGTCTAAAGCTGTTGGAGTGGCTGGCCCACGTGGCAGACTGCCTGTCCAGCTAGCAAAAAAAGCCCTAAAGCTGCTGGACCCATCAGTACTCCTACCGGCATGTGCAAGACTTCCCATTGCATAACCAGTACTTTCCATTTTCAGGATATAACATTTTTGCCAGGCTGGCCCAGTGATTATATTCTTACTACTTTTTAATTCATTTTCAGTAAAGTATAGAGTACTTCTTGAACTCAGCACTCCTGGAAGACCATGATTTTCCTCCACACTACCACAGATTGATGATGCTTTTGTAAAATGGACCAAAATGTCACAGCAAGATAAACTTGTTTCTATACTGATCCTTGCTGTAGGCTGGTAGCACAGTCATGGACCAGTACTGGATTTTCAGACTATACCAATATATGTGACATTTAGGAATTTTTTAGCATATCTTAAGAGATATTGACATGGAAAGGCTTTCTTCAGTTGTCCTCAATTTGTAACTTCCTTCGTGAACACTGTGACTCTAAAGCAACAGTTTGAATGTTTTTTAGACCATTTAGTTAACCATCCAAATGATCAGCAGCCTTACTATAATAAGGCTGGTTGTTGTATTCTTAGAGATAACTGCTTCACAGATTTCAGATTCTGTCTCAATTCATGTATTTAATAAGGTTTTCTTGTTTGTCTTTTTTTTTTTTTTTTTTTTTTTGGCTGGGCTGGGTTTAAACTTGGGGCTTCATGCTTACAAAGCAGGGTCTCTACCATTTGAGCCACACATCCAGTCCATTTTGTGCTGGTTATTTTGGAGGTGGGGAGTCTCATGAAATATTTGCCTGGGCTGCCTTTGAACCTCGATCCTCCTGATACTAGCTTCCCAAGTTGCTAGGTTTATAGGCTTGAGCCACTAGTACCTGACTTGTTTTGGGTTTTGAGACTGGGCCTCATTATGTAGGCTGGGCTGGCCTCTGCCTCCTAAGTACTGGGATTACAGGTATGAACAACCATTCCTGGCCTTAGTAAGTATTGATGGGGCATTGTGCCAGCCACCATTATGAATTCTAGGGAGACAGTGGTGAACAGGTTGAAGTGTCTGCTCTGACAGAGTGTGGGGAGAGAAAGACACTTAGGCAAACAGTGAATAACAAGAACTAAAAGAAAGAAACTAGTAAAGAAAGAGACAGGACTCGATGGGTGGGCATTTTCTTTTCTGGGGATTGAACCCAGGGCCTCATACATGGGCAGCAATTTTCAACTAGAGCCATGAGGGAGGGCCTATCCAAAGGATTGTTTGAGGTAAGGCCTAAAGAATGCGAAAGAATTTGTGCAGTAGTTAATGATCCTTGGCTTCCTATATATAATTGAAATTTATCATAACTTAAATATTTTCCCTGTGATGTGGATACATCACAGGCAAAATGCCTTTTTTGGGTGGGGAGGGGTACTGGGGTTTGAACTCAGGACTTCGTGTGAATCACACCTCCAGTCCATTTTGCTCTGGTTATTTGGAGAGGGTTTTTTTTTTAAACTCTTTGCCTGAACTGGCCTTGAACCAAGATCTCCCCCATCTCAGCCTCCCAAGTAGCTAGGATTACAGATGTGAACCACCAGAGCCTGGCTTTTTTGTTTTTTGGATATGGCAGAGATGTCTTAAATATGACCCAAAAAGCACCAAGTATAAAACACAGTCAACAAATTGGACTTCTTCACAATTAAAATTTTTTTTCTTTTTAAAAGACACTGTTCCAAAATGAAAAAGGGAAGCAACAGGTTGGGAGAAAATACATTTAAAACCTGTATGTGGCAAAGAGCTTGTTGTACCTTAAGATCCATAAAGAAATACTGCTACCTAAAAGAAGACCGCCCCCATGACAAATGGGAAAGGCTTGACCAGCCACTTGATCCGAGAGGGTAAATATGCTTCTTGAAATATGCTTATGCACCAGGTGTGCTGGTGCAGACAGGCCTATAGTCCCAGCACTGGAGGTGTGCAGACAAGAGGATCATGAGTTCCAGACCAGCCTGAGCTACACAGCAGGGCCCTGTCTCAAAAAGCCAAGGGCTGGGGCAGTAGCTTCGTAGTACAGAACTTGCCTAGCATGTACACAGCCCTGGGTTCCATCTCCAGCACTATGGAGACACACACACAGGCTCAATATCAATAGTTATTAGGGGAATACAAATTAAAACTCTAGTGAGATGGTAACTATACTCCCAATAGAGTAGCTAAATTTTTAAGTACTGATCACACCAACTTCTAATGAGGAAGTGGACCAATTGAGAATCTCATACACTTGGTAGAACTGTAAAATGGTACAAGTACTTCAGAAAATAGTTTGGGGGACTGGCAGATTGGCGAAGTGGTAGAGTACCTGCCTAAAGTGTGAAGCCCTGATTTCAAACCTCAGTATTGAGGTTTGAAAGCTTCTGAAAAATAAATTACGCACCTGTCGTATTTGGCAATTCCATTTTAGCTCTTAACTATAAAAGAAGTAAAAATCATATATGTATGCGAAGCCTTACACCCAGATGTTTGTAGCAGCTTTGTTTGCAGTAGCTGAAAACGTTCATGGACAGGCAAAAAGATAAGCACCCCTAAAGTGGAGCTCTGCTTGCTTGAGGAGGAACAACAAAAAGGAGCCACAGTAACTTGCATGCATCTCAAGATAATTATGCTTAGTGAAGAAGCCAGATTGCCCTCACCCCCCAAAAAGAGTACATACTATGATTCCAATTATATAAAATTATAGAAAATGCTGTCTAGTTTATAGTGACGGGAAAAAAAGATAGTGGTTGCCAGCAGGGAGGAGGGTGTCTCAGGTGTAAACATGCTGCCTGTTGAGTAAAGACCAACATGGTTAGGGTAAAACCATAAAACTTTGAGAAGGAACTCCAGAAGAACAACACTGTGACCTCAGGTTGTGGAAGAATTTCTTACAGTACAACAAGCCCAAAAGAAAAGTTGAGGGGCCGCTGCTCAGTGGTAGAGTGCATGCTTAGCAAGCATAAGACCTTGAGTTCAAACTGAAGTAACAAAAAAAAAAAAAAGAAAAGAAAGACTGTAGAACAAATAAAAGATGAATAAATTCAGTAATGTTCAAATTTTAAATTTCCACTTTTAGAAAAAACCACATTGAAAAAAATCAGGAGAAAATATGTGCAGCACATATAATTGACAAGAATTAGTATCTCTATAAAAGTCCTGTAACTCAGCTTAAAGCAGATGGCCCAGGGCTGGGATCAGAGGTAGCTCAGAGGTGGACTTCTTGCCCAGCATCTCCAAGGCCCTGCCTTTGATCCCCAGCACAAATAAAAAAGAAAATCAGGAAAGGTAGTCAAAATACACGAATAAGTATATTACCTTAAGAGGAATCCCCACCAGGCATGTACTTCACACCTGTAATTCCAGCACTCTGGAGGCGAAAGCATGAGAATCATAAGTTCCAGGCCAGCCTGGGCAACTTAGTGAGATCCTGTCTCAAAGTACAATTAAAAAGGGATGGACTGGAAGTGTGACTCAAGTAGTGGAGGGCCTCCTTTGCAAACAGGAAACCCTGAGTTCAAACCCCAGTCCCACCAAAAAAAATTTTTTGTTTCCAAAACGGCTAGAAAAGTAGCTCAGTGGTAGAGCGTTTGCCCAGCATACTGGAGCCCTGGGTTCTATCCAAATTACCTCAAACAAAAGAGAGAGAGAGAGAGAGGAACCCCAAGTGACTGATACACATGAAAAGAGGCTTGATCTCATTATTATTCAGGAAAATGTGAATTATGAAAATAGTTCATTTCCTAGTCCTAACTCCCATGGACAAAAGTTTAGGAGTCAAATATGTCAAGTGTAGGCAAAGATACAAAGCAACCACAACGTGTTTTCTCTTAGAGGATAAACTGGAACAAACACATGGGGAAACTATTTTCATCATCTATTAAAGTTAAACGTGCCAGTTTTAAGGCCCAAGATGTTCCACATGTGAGTGTGTACACCAGAGAAGCTTGTGCATATGGGTACCGAGAACTCTGTACAAAAGTACCTGCAGTGGCACGGTAGGAGTAAAACTCAAGGCAGTCTAAATTATAACAGCCTTAGGACAGATAAACTGTAGTATGGCTCTACAACAGAATACTATGTAGCAGTGAAAAAGAATAACTTGACAGATGCACATAGCAATAAGAAAGAATCTTAGGAACAAATTCTAAGAATAAAACAACAGAAGAATGCATATAATGTGATTACATTTTTAAGGATACAAAAAATGTTGCACAGCTATGAAAAAAAAGCAAGGAAATGATTTAAGCACCAAATTCCAAAAGCAGTTATTTTGCTGGGGGAATGGAATGTGATGGAGGTAAAGTAATCCTGGTGCATTAGTGACCTCAAAATGTTCTTGTGTTGTAATTGGACATATGCTTGTTTCATATTTTTATCTCAGATCCTTTGAATCTCTGTAATATTTAACAAAGTTAGATTTAAGATAAATGCAATTTTAGCTGGCAAATCACAAGATACCTAATCTTGTATACCTGTGAGAAGTTTGCTCCTAATGAATCTTACTCTGTTACTTACAGTTCATGATTTAAATTGCCTTCGGTTAAGTGTAAACATCCTTTTTCTTTTCTCTCCGTTCCCTCTGCCCTGCTGCTCTTCAATGTGTAGAAGAGATTTGAAGCACTTTTCACCCTCTATGACGAGCAGGTGACATTCCAATTATTTAAAAGCTTTAGAAGAGTCAGAATAAATTTCAGCAAACCCGAGGCAGCAGCAAGAGCTCGAATAGAGCTGCACGAGACAGACTTCAACGGGAAGAAGCTGCGGCTGTACTTTGCACAGGTACTCCCCTCTCCTCCTCTCCCCTCCCACTATCCTCTCGGCTCCCTTCTCTTCATCGTGTCAGGCATTTGGGGAGTGAACAAGCCAGTCAGCAAATACTGTTAAATTCTGTTCTTCTGTGTTACAGATATAGTTTTAGTTGTCTATCGAGTATCTTTATCCTCCTGACATGTTTTGCTGAGATGCATCATTAAAAGAGGTCACTTTTCTGGCAGTTTTGTCCAGCCTGGGCTCTGGGAGGTTAAGCCCTCCTGCCCTAAATTAGAGAATCAAGTTTTTCCTCTGCATCTCCTCTGCATGAGGAGCCCTCAGGAAAAAATTGCTGATCTGAGTGAGGGGCAGCCAGGAGGGCACAGAACCACAGAGAAGCTGTCTCAGGCTCATCCCGCACAGGTCCCTGAAGGGCTGTGGCTCTTTGACAAACCAATTTTTTTCTCAAAAGAATTGACAAAATGAATGCATTAGGTCTTCTCATGAATGAAGTATACTGTTTTATTTTCCTTTTTAAAAGTATTTTTCTAGTTTTCAAACTAAAAACAAGATAGGTTTGTTGTCTTGCATTCTTGATGTCTAGATAATTTTCCTAGTAGTCTCTTGAGATGCAGTTGAAAATCAGGCTTTATTATTCCTATTCCTCTAAGGATGGAATTGGGTAGCATGTTAGCTTTCAACCACTGTAACACAGACCTAGAATAAACCAGCTTGTAAAGAGGGCAGCTTATTTTGGCTCATGGTTTTGGAGGTTTCAGTCCATGGTTGGTTGGCCCGTTGCTTTTGGGCCTGTGGTGAAGACAGCACATCACAGTAGGAGCATGTGTGGAGCGAAGTGGTTCGCCTCATGGCTGGGAAATAACAGAGAGAGGAAGAGAAAGGGTGTGCCCCCAATGACTAAAGACTCCCAACATCTCCCCACAGCACCACCCTTGGGAGCAAGCCTCTGCCCACGGACCTTTAGGGGCCACTTGAGATACACACTCTGGCAAGTGACTTCTACCATGTGTCTCTTTATTCACCTGTTCATGCATTTATTCTTTTGTTCAACCCATATTTACTGAGCACTGGATACATGTGGACCTGGTCAGGGAACCAAATGGACCCAACCATAGACTGCTGAAGAGAAACTATAAATTCTCTTCAATAATACCAAAAACCAGTAACAGTCACAAGGATGGGATGAAGACAAAGAGCCCAGTGTGCACAGTGTCTGTGCCATCTTCTCCACAGGTGCAGACATCTGGAGAGGCCCGGGACAAATCCTACCTTCTGCCGCCACAGCCTGCCAAACAGTTTCTCATCTCACCACCCGCGTCCCCGCCTGTGGGGTGGAAGCAGAGTGAAGACGCCATGCCTGTGATCAACTATGACTTACTCTGCGCCGTTTCCAAACTGGGGCCAGGTAACACCTCCTACAGGTAACACCTCCTGCTTTTCCTGGTTTTGTCCTGAAACCTTTTTGTTGAAGACCATATTGAGCAGCGTGTGTTCTAGCAGTGATCTAGCCATGATCAGGTGGTGGGCACAGTCACAGGGGCCTGGGCTCAGATTCTAGCCGTGCATTTTCCAGCTCTGTGATCCCAGCCAGTTGCTGAGCCTCAGTTTTTTTTCTCTATAAAGATAATCCTAATATTGACTGCTCATTGTGGTTATAAGGTTTAAATGATATGCGTATGATGCTCAAGTGTAACTATCATTCTTACTGTTGTGGATTCTACCAGAAGTTACCATGAGCAGTCAGTGAATTTCAGTTGCTTTCTCTCCCAACCCCATCAAGTCCAGACAGATGACAACTACTTTGAATGTGTTTCAAGGAGTTAGTAACGGTATTGTATCACCCTTCCGCTGTCTTTTTATTGCTTTTTCATTTCTTACTTTCCTCCTCTTTCCTTTCTTTGCCTCTCTCATCTGTTTAGAATAATGAGACACTGATGCCATGCTGGTTGAGACTAGGCCACCAAGCAGTGTTGTGTCTTAGAGGGGACATGGAGGCATTTGAGAATGGCTTAATGTTAGCCATTAGAGTGGTATTTCACATATCTGAGGTCCTAGAATAAAGAGATTCCCAGTGCTGTGTGGAGCCTTACCAGTTTCTTCCAAGGGGAAAGTGGAAACCATTAGGAAATAAAGCAGTTCCGTTCCTGCTAACCATAGAACAGCAATTAGTATTCCCATTTAAGTGCAAGATTAAGGACTGAAAGGACAACATTTTATAAGAGCCTTAAGTGCTGAAGAGCCAGACTGAGTACTCTTATCATAGGATGGGGAGGCTTTGTTAGGTAGTCAGCCATAAAGTATTAGGTAGACCAAGCAGTTCCAGAGAGAAGACAGCTCTTCCTGCTGGGTGCCAGCCTTTGCTCCATCTCGTTTGCCTCCACAGGGGAGAAATACGAACTGCATGCTGGAACCGAGTCTACACCCAGCGTGGTGGTTCATGTCTGTGAAAGCGAAACTGAAGAGGAAGAAGAAACAAGAAACCCCAAACAGAAAATCACCCAGACTCGGCGCCCTGACCCTCCCACCGCAGCACTGAGCGAGCCGCAGACCTTCGACTGCGCCCTGTGAGGTGGCTGGGGAGCAGCTGCCTCTGGCTACGTTGGGCCACGTTCCTCTTGCTGCTACCTGCTGCCCACAGGGCACTTACACTTCAGCCCAGCTGGTGCCTCCACCAGGCCGCCAGTGGTGGGATGGAGTAGCAGGTGAGTCCACCTGTTGAAGTTTTCAGTGCTGTTCCTAATGGCACTTTAAGTGAAAGGATTAGCCTGAGGTGCAGTAACTCGACCATTTTTAAACAGTAGAAAATTAGGAAAATGGCTTCCCAAACCCCCAGCAATGTTAGTTCTCCTGATTTCATATAGCAGTCACCCAGTGTACTACCATTTTTATGGATTTAAAAATAGTCATACAGTTTTAATAATCTGATATGGGGTGGTTTTGTACTGGCAAGATAGCTTCTAGTAGAATGATCAGAGTCTCATTGTTATTCAGTATATGTGACATTTGTGCACAAAAGAAACCTGAAATACAGGATGATCTATGGAAGTCATTTTCCTCAAGTGTTTTTTCATTAGTCTTGGGGATGCAATGCCAGATCCACTCTGGTTATCAGAACTAAATGGCACTGACAGTGTGTGCTGTTCTCATCCCTGTTGCTCTGACTTGGAGGGTGGGGGCGGGTAATGTAAGGCCCCAGCCTGCCAGAAGTAATGGCTGCTTTGGAAGTGGGACTTCCTGCCAAGAAGCTATACTAATGATGGTCTGTGGCTGCCATAGGTGGCCCTGGGTGATCACAGTCTTGCTTGCAGGGTGCCGAGCTGCCTTCACTCCCCAGTTTTTATCCATCACTAGCTCTTAAGATTTTCTATGCTCTCCATACATTTATGTGTCTGTCATAGTCTTAAATTACAAAAGGTAATGATAAGATTTTCTGAAGACCATTTAGAATTTTTCCATTTCAACATTTTCAGCCTGCTTAGACAGAAAAGTCATCCACACCGTTTTTCTGTGAATAAGGGATTGAGGAAAGGTCAAGCTTTGCTTTTTGATGAAAGTTTTTCCCTTGGCTTACAATCAGCATTTTCCCTGAAAGCAGATGTCTCTCACTACCTTCAAGGCTGTTATTTATCCATCTTCAGGTAGAAGCAGTATCATGAATGCCTTGTGGTCTGTTGAGACTTTGTGGTCTCCCTGTGAGAATGTCCCATAACTGGGCAAGCTGTGCTTTGGGGCAGGTGGCTGCTGGCTGTTCTCTCCCTGTGCTGTTTGCTTTGTGTGGCAGGTGTCCAGACCTTCCCATACATACGTGAAGTGGGTACATATGAGTTAGAACTAATAACCAAAGTGGCTGCCACTACAAAGAAAGAATGCAGAAATTCAAGCCATGGAATAATGTATTTTTGGCAACATGTTACTGTGGTTTAGTTTTAATTATGATGGAATTTATTTCTAAGGACTTTATATTGCACAGACACACACACAAACACAAACACACACAAATGTTTTCTCCATTTTCCGTGTTCTCAAACACCCCGAGATATATACTCTTCTGCTTATATGTACTTAATACTGCTAGGCCTCAGTGTAAATTTGGTTGAAAGTGATAATTCCATAAACAACTATTTATTGACTTCAAATCAACATCTGTCAGTTTAACTGACAGCCACTTGAAAAATTTATTTTTCAATTCTTTTTTTTTTTTTTTTTTTTCTGAGATGGAATCTTACTGTGTTGCCCAGGTTGGTCTCCAAGCTCTAAGCTCAGAGGACCTCCTGAGTGATTGGACTCTGTGTCACACGGCACCCACCTCAACTTTGATTCCAAACTCAGTATTTTGTCTCATTTTGGTTACAGGATAGACCTAATCTGCCAGGTTATGTATGTTTTCAACAGTTGGGAAAGTTTTGAGTTTCCTATTATGTAAATATTTATTCAGTATAATTTTCTAAGTGTTTTATTATTTGCCATGGCTTTCATTCTCCTCCTGCCAGTTAAAGGACATGTAAAGCACTTTTTTAGACAGGTAGTACAAACTACCCATTAAAAAAAAGAGTGGCTCAAGAGGCAGCGCCTGCCTAGCTCTGAGCTCAAACCCCAGTACCAAAAAAAAATTGAGATACTGAATAAATTTTAAACCAAAATTGTGTAGATGGATGTGTGTGGGTGTATATATGTATGTGTGTGGTATATACATACATACATACATACATATGGAGAGAGTTCTTCAGACTGCTGAATGGCAGACATTAATATTTTCTTTCTACTATACTATTTCCATGTGGTGAATCCTAGAAGAAAAACTACTAAATGCCCATAACTTTTTAATAGAATGAAATCAACCAGGATCTCAAGGTTTCTGTTCTTTTTTTGGCTATTTTTGTCCAGTTTGTGTAACTATTTTACAAGAAATGAGTCTCCTCTATCTTTTTAAAGTTGTTACATTTGCATTTTTGGTCTTTGGGGTTGGCTTATTTCTTAGAATTAACTCTGGTAGTAGAGTAGAAACAGCACCTCTCCATGGAAACTGAACTGTGAAGACTGCTGCAGGGAAGGACAACAGTGCCTCGTATTGGGAAGAGGCAGCAGGCAGAACCGTGGAGTGGAGCGTAGGCTCTCATGGTCTAGAATCTTTCCACAGGCCCACTGCTGAAACCAAAGGCCATTCTGAAGGCATCCTAGTGAGTGGCTGGGAAGATGTGGGTGCCCTACAAGGCTGAGAGCCAGGTGGAAAGGACCCTCGTCTTTTCACACCCTTCTCCTCCAAATATTACACCCAAACCCATCAGTAATGGAGAGCCATATCAAAGCTACGAGAGACTTTGTGGCTCAACATGAAGGCTGAAATAGACACTGTAGCCATTTATGGGGTGTTGGCATTGCAGAGATGGCGGTTGGGTGTGGTAATTCCATCCTTTAAATAAAGTCTTTTTTGTTTGCCATTCCCATTAATTCCACCTTTTAAAAATGTTAGGTTATAAAGGGAAAAAGACTTGGTGGTCTTAGATGCTCAGCTGCAGAGTGGAAGGTGCCTGGAGATTGCCTTGTCTACTGCTTCTTTTACACAGATTCGAAGCTGAGGCTGCTGGACTTGCTTAGGAGCTCAGAGCAGGGAGGCCCAGGGACTAGAACTCGACATTCCCTATTTTCCTACTTTTTCTTCCATTGGCCTCTTAAAGAGGCAGTGAATACTAATCCCTATCATAAGCAGGCAGAAAAGGGCCAGGGCATAAGAGGGGAGGAATCCTTTTTCCCTGATTTTTAAGACATTTACCTAATGGAGGCAATGACTTAGTAATTTTAGCTAATCAATTTGATGTTCCATGTTTTGTGTTTCTGTCACCATTGAACTGTGCTCAAATAATGTTATCTTAGTTGCCAGCAATTATGTTAGAATCTTATGTGGGCTTTTCTATATTTTCATATTAATGAAATTAAAATACAAATAGTCATACTTAATATGTGACCCTAATAAATGAGGTCTTATATGACTTAGAAATAAAAATTTGTGGTGAAATGACTCTCCTCAGTGCTTGTAAAATTGAGTTCTAGTCAAGATTGAAGACTGACTGATCCTTTATATTTTTATATAGATTATTTTATAAGGCATGGATTTATTTTTAGAAGGAAAATCTCAAAAATAATTAAGCAGTGGAAAATGTACTAAATTCTTTGATTGGTGTGTCAAGTACACTGTCTGCTAGATTTCTCTTCTCTTGAGCCTCTTACCTGTAGACAGGTGAACTTGGTCCATCTTTCCTTCTTCCTTTCTGTGTGCTCCTTTTTTGCATGTTTGCATTTACATCTTGCTGTCTTAAAGGAAATGAATCAGGCAGTCATGGTGTTTCACACCTGTAATCCCAGCACTTGGGAGGCTGAGGCAGAAAGATGGGGCTTTTGAGGCCAGCCTGGGCTACATAGAGAGACCATCTCAACAAACAAACAAAAAGGAAACAAATTACTTTTAATTAGTATGACAATATAAAGAAACAGAATGCTGGGCGCCGGTGGCCTATAATCCTAGCTACTGAGGAGGAAGAGAACAGGAGGATCACAATTTGAAGCCAGCTCAGCAAATTTTCCAAGAGACCCTATCTCAAAAAACCCTTACAAAAAAGGTCTGGTGAAGTGGCTCAAGGTGTAGACCCTGAATGCAAAAAAAAAAAAAAAAAAAAAAAAAATTGGGAAAGTAGTTACTTCTAGCTAGGGAAGACCATGTTACAAAGACTTACTTCTTTAGAAAAAAAGCAATTAAAAAAATAAATTGTGTGAACCCTGGCCAACCATTGACAAACACCCATTTGTTTTTAAACTCCCTGTGGGTCGTAGGTTAAACAGAACATCCTCATCAGAGACCATTGCTTCCTTCAAGCCTGAATCTGGGGAAATGTGAGTGATTTGGAGGGGGTTGTTATGGTTACCAAGTGTGCAGGAGCCAAGGTGGAGGAAAGCAGCAGCCACTGCTCAGTTCACTGCCCAGGAGGAGTATAAAAATGTTCTTGGTCGAAGTGGATTCCAGCCACAGGGACTGGGGCACAACTCAAATGACACAGCTTTTCTTTTTGGGCCCCTAGCTTGTCAGGCAGGTGCTCTTCCACTTGGGCTTGGGCCACACCCCAGCACTCAAGTGTTAGAGCTTTTGCCTCTCAAGAGAGAGGAGGCTCTCAGTTTAATCCCCAACACCACCAAAAAAAAAAGAACAAAAAATAAAACTCACCTTGGGCTAAGTCAGAGTTGAAAGACCTTTTGTTACTAACTCAGACACGTGGTCTGGCTTGGAAACCTCTGTTTCCTCTTGAAACTATCATGTCCCTGAACTTGTGGAACTTCTGCCCGGCCTTGACTTGGCCTGACTTGGCCTTGACTGCGTGTTCATTTGAGCTCTATGGAAACTCGTATCTCTACGCAGGTATATGTTTTCCTGTATTGTTTCCTATTTAGTCCCCAGTCGCCTAACTTAGATCAGGGGCTGAGGAGAGATTAAGGGACTAACCCTGTTATTGTGCCATATTCCTCCACTGTTGTTCAGCCCCATGGGACTTGGATTGAAGTCACTTCCATAATGTTCACACTTTTCCAATACAAGAAAGCTTTCTCTGTGATTTCTCTTTGTCCTAACTGAGCCCAGGAATTGAATAATTACTTTATCTGCACATTTGTGGTCCTGTACTCTGTTCTGGGGCATGTTCCCTTTCTGCTACTGTAAGCTATAGTGAATTCTCACCCGTACTTCAGGAAACTGGTCAGTGACGGTGCACAAGGGCTCACATGTTAGTGGGCTCTCAGTGATAGCCGCTCATTGCTAGCTTTAGTGCTTCTGTGTTTTGAGGACCTCTCAGCATTCCTTGTCCTGTCCAGGTGACAAAAGCAGAATGTAATTTGAGGGGAAGCTTTGTGATTACTTGTAACAAATTTTGTTTTTAAAACTAATAAAAATAAAGTTAGTTTTTCTTAATCAGTCCACTGAGTTCTTTGTGTATAGTATTTTCAGTATGTATCACATATTTTGGTCACAACACAAAAAAAAGAGGAAGGGAAACACCATGTTTGTTCCTATAACAAGAGTTCATGCCGCTCGGTGCCAGGGTTCAAGCAGGGAATGACTGCAACTAAACGACCAGGCTTATTCCTTACCTAAAAATGATTTATTCCTCCTAGTAAAGAATTTCATTTGTTTGTTTTTATAGTTCTGGGGATTGAACCCAGGACCTTGTGTCTGCTAGGCCAGCACTCTACCACTTGAGCCACACCCCCATTTTATTGTATTTTGTTTCTGAGTTAGGGGTCTTGCTAACTTTGCCCAAGCTAACCTCAAACTTGCCTCTGCCTCCTAAGTACCCGGGATTTCAGGTCTATACTACCATACCTGGCTATTTTCTGTCTTGGTTTAAAAAAAAAAAACAACTCAGTTAAAATACTGAAACCAAAAAATGACTATTGAGTTTGTCTGTAAAGCCCCAGCAGTCTTTACAAACAAATGGCCTCAGAGGCAGGACCCAAGACACACATCTGGTCCAAAGCCAACCTGGAACTAGAAACCAGGTTCCAGATTCTTCATACCACTCTCCACTACCCTCTTAAACTTAAGTCTTTAGTTTTTCTGGAGCAAATGTATCAGGATCCAAAAGTTTTGATAGTTGGTGTTGAATAATACTAAAGCCCAGCAGCTGGGGTCATTTCCATAAACACTTTTCCAGGCTGTGTCTACGGGGCTGCCTCCAGGTGGCGCTGAGCCTCCAGGTTGCTGGGGCCTTCCCTGCCCTCTTGCCTCAACTCTGCGGTTTGTGGTACATGATGATCTTAGCATCAGATTTCAATCAAGCTAAGGATTTTTTAGTTAAAACAGCAACCTGGAAAAACACTACAAATACCTAAAGAAAAAATGAATTTTCAAAAATACAGACTAGAAAACATAAGAATAAAGATTTAAGTAACTTCACCTCCTAAAGGTAGACTGACTTAACAGTTAACAATGTATGTATCAGTGTCCTGTTAGTACCAAGAAACATTCATGGATAGCAAGATGAGCAGTGACTATGTCCATGCCTTCAGGGCTCACATGCAGACATGGCTGTGCACACAGGAAAGACCTCAAACCATGCCAAGCT